AGTAACTGCCATAATGAGTTAAAGTACATTTGTTCAAACAGGCCTGTCGTGCCCGTTCGCCATTGACGATCTTGGCCTTCACATGCCCTGCACGAACACCCACCAGCGATCTGATGGGACATGTTTTGTTTAAAGTCATTCAGATCGAAGCCGTAGTTTGGGAGCTAGAATTTTCGGAAGTTCGAAGTATTGTGATTTTTAGATTCCGAGCTAGTGTGGTATTTGGGTACATACTGTGTCCATTCGTCCTGAAACGAACTCAGCTCGTTGACCTTTTTACATCCCTTTCCTTTTATATAGGTCTCCGTTAGTGACAATACATAGTTTCATGTCAGTTAGTACGTAACGTGATCCTATGGTTAACGATAGTTCAACTACATGTTCAAGCAACTACAGACGATGTTGCTAGTTTAAGTAATTGTTTGAATACTTCTTATTAACAAAGTAGTGTACGTACGGTAATTTATAAGTGGTCCTCTTCACACCACCAACTCATTCCCCAGGCCGACAACCGCCACACAGCACAGTCAATGCCCTCTGTTCATTGTAAGGGTAGTCAGTGTACGCCTACATATAGTATGACCAGAAATTATTGAGAATTTTAGGAATATGTTTAATTGGGATTTCTAGTATAAACAACCTTAAGCTTGACCAGCTATCAAGTGCTTGGTTTCATTCAAGAGAGACTACTCCGTTAATCCTTTTTCATTAGTTTGTGAAGAGTTATCCCCCTTTGTTTACTTGTTAGCAGACGACATTTTCAGTGATCCTCAGTAGGGATGATTTAGAGAAGAGGAAGTTGATTTAAGAGTATTATAACAAGGACATCAGTTCAGCTAAAGTGATTTCAAGTAGAACAGGCATCCCTTTGTCCACTGTTTATCGTGTTTTGAAAAATATTGCAAATGGATATGGCATTGAGCACCAGGGAGGCACAGGTAGGCCCAGAAAATTGACTGTCGGTGACAGGAGGCGGCTTGGTATTTTTGTTTCTAAAAACAAACGAAGGAGTTTAGAAAACTTAAGGCTGGATATGATTGATAGAGTAACCGTGGCTGTCTGTAAGGAGACAATTAGAACTGAGCTGCATGCAATGGGTTGGCAGAAAAGTCGAGGAATTGCATCACCGATCATGAAACCTGAACAAAAGGAACGGTTGAACTGGTGCTTACAGCATAGAAATTTTAACTGGGACAATGTGATTTTCTCAGATGAAAGTTTTGCGTGGCTGTTGCCTAATACACTGAAATTCTGGACCAAACACTATCAGCGCCCAAAGTACAGCCCGAAATTTAACGTGTGGGATATTTTGATATTGGGACAGCATGGACCACGACTTTCTAACTTATTTGATCAGTAGTATGCCCCGCCGCATTGAAGCCTGCATTGCTGCCCATGGTGACTTGACAAAATACTAACTGTTCACCTGTCTTTGAATTTGGAGTTATGTTCTGCTAATATTCACATTTAATACGTGAGTAATGAGTGAACAAAATATAAAAGTTTACAATCTTAAATTCTCAATAATTTCTGGTTGTACTGTACGCCGTTATCAAATACTCCTCGGAGATCTCGTGGAAGCTTGATATCGAGACAGAAGACGTTCAACGTCCAACATGTTCCAAATGTCTTGAGGTCATGCTATAGTAGGCCGCGAATGGTCAGAATTATACCAGCATATATACTCCCCATCAAAAGTTTAGACGCCTTAGTGTAAATGTAGCCACTTACTTAAGTCAACTGTTTTCACCTAGATTTTGTAAAATAATCCATACAGTTTAAAGGTACTGTTTATACATGAGCTGATGTATTTTAAAACAAATTCGTGACGTTGAAAAGTTTATTGTCATGTGTTCAGTAAATGACGAAACTCGGTGGAAAATGGCGATTTTTTTTATCAAAACGCCGCTGTTCACATGCACGATATTTGCACATGCTTTTCGGCAATTTGATACATGATCCTCGTGCAATTAATCTGCATCATGTGCAAGAATCATGAACACTGAGCCTCCAATAGGGTTGCGTTCAGCGAAGCGTGTCCTCTATGATCACAAAGAAGGACGTTCAGAAAACCTCTCTAAAACTCCTATTTTGTATTATAATACAATACTACCCTGCTTCATGTCGTATTCACATTTATCTGTTGTTTTAAATGATATATTTTACATAATTTTGACATACCTGAAAATCCTGTTCCTTTGCGTTACAAATACATGACCTTGCATGTGCAGTTAAATGCATGTACACACGGAAATCATGCATTGTGGGCTACTTTCACACAATCTGTCGCAAGTACGAAAGTAAACACATCATTTCCCAGCTTCACAACTTGCAGTTATATCACATGTCCACCTGTATGTAAAAGAACACCCCCCACAGCAAGATATTAAATACTGTACTTTGTACCTGAAAATTCGGGTCACCTAAGACAAAACTGTCTAATTACCGGTATGACAGAGTTGTATCCCTTAGGTTAACGCACCACTTGAATCCCCGCAGATTCATCTTTGGTATTCACGCATCTTAGTGGAGAAATTCATCTTCGTTGTAACCATATGTGGGGCGGTGGGGCCAGCCTAGTGGTTAAAGCATTGGCTCGTCACGCCGAAGGCCCGGGTTCGATTCCCCACATGGGCACAATGTGTTAAGCCCATTTCTGGTGTCCCCCGCTGTGATATTGCTGGAATATTGCTAAAAGCGGCGTGAAACTAAACTCAGTCAGTCAGTCAATGTAACCATATGTACCTACATAACTTATAGTTGGTTTAAGCGGGTCTAAACTTTTGATGGGTAGTATACGTGGTTAGCTTTGGGTCTATCCAGTTATCAGAATGACACCTCCCACCCCAGAAATTCTTGTCGTTAAGGAACTGGCTACGGGATATATCAGGTAACAAAAAAAACCCAAATTTTCCTCAACTGCTTGACTCACACAGCCATAATGACTCAGATACAACATTACATGAGGATGTAGATTATAGACTAAGTATTCGGATTGGGATTAAGAGTATTATTTGCATGAAAATGGTGCTGATGGTAAATTTCATTACTTTACTCTGATAGACTAATAAAAAATGTCATGTGATAACTACAGATAATCTGATCTACACTTGCAATTTCATATCAACCAACTTTCACATATTTGCGGCAGAGCCGTGGTAGGTATGACCGTACTGGTGGCCTTTTCCTACGGATTAATAAATCAATAACGTTTAGTCTAGTATGTAAATATCAGGCCTAGTCTATAAATACCAGGCCTAGTCTGTAAATATCAGGCCTAGTCTGTAAATACCAGGCCTAGTCTATATAAATACCAGGCCTAGTCTGTAAATATCAGGCCTAGTCTATAAATACCAGGCCTAGTCTATAAATACCAGGCCTAGTCTATAAATACCAGGCCTAGTCTATAAATACCAGGCCTAGTCTATAAATACCAGGCCTAGTCCATAAATATCAAGCAAACCCCTTCAACCAGATATGAACAACAAGATGCAGGGTTTAAACTCCAGGCCTACAAACGTAAACTTTCAGATTGTGTACTAAATCTTGAATTCGTTTACATTTTACAAGGAGCTAGGAACGTTATTCGTAGTAACTGGATCCGACTATGCACTATTCCAAATTATATGAGAAGCAGCCTGTGAGAAGCTGGGTTAGGGTTTGTCTTCAGCAACCCATGCTTGTCGTAAGAGGCGACTAACGGGATCGGTTGGTCAGGCTCGCTGACTTGGTTGAGACATGTCATCGTATCCTACTTTCGGCGTTAAAGGGGCACTGATGTAGAGCGATTAATATTTCACGCTAACAATTTGGTTACGAATTCAAGCTGCAAGCTGGTCAGTCCCTGTTTCCTCGACCGTGACGGACACAGGAACTGGGGTACTGTTCACCTTGGCAGAATTTCTTCAACCTAAACAGTGGGACAGTATCAAGGGTGGATGCCCATCATACGCGGTCATTTGAAAATATCCCCGGTAGTTCTAGTCTGATTGAAATATCCCAGCAGTGTGGGCCTTTTCGGATTTTTTAATGCCTGGATGGTATAGTGACCGATCCAATTTGATCTTATTTCTGTGTTTTTTTACCTCTATATTTAATCACGTCATGTAAAAATATGATGTCTATTACCATTGAGATTAAAAACAGACATTTGATTTATTTGAATCCGTAAACGAAACAACCCAACTTTGCCATTGCCAGAAATATCTGAAAATTTACATAGGTAAATAGGTAAATACAGTTTTAACTTAAGTACACAGCCATTGCTTATAGGTATTTCTTATGCAACAATGAAGTTGCGTTCGTATCCTCAAAATAGTGTCTACCCCTAAGTGTTTTAGGCAGTTAAAATTGCATTCGATGCAGCGATTACTACTCCCCTAAGCTTGCTGTACCCCATGTTTGGTGGTATATTCATTTACTTGATGGTCAATTAATGAATTTAAAACAGGTATAATTAGTGGTAACACCACTCAGATTACCCGACATAGGTTCCCATTTAGCATTTCTGTCTGGAGAAATACACAGCATCATGAATTGGGGTCTGATGTGGCAAATCAACTACAGACAGATAGAAAGACAGACAGATCTATTTCAGTAAAAGGCAAAAAATAATAATAATACAGTCTTTACAGAATGTTTGATCTATGTGCGAAGTAATGAAGTAGTATTTATCATTTTCCTTATTCTTTTGACTTTCTCCAGATTATGACATACATTATAAATATCATCATTATTTGTTGAGGACATCAAATTTACAAAGTGTTGTACAGATGGACAATCTTTCTGTGTTCATTTACAAGGGTAAGTTTTTTTCTAAATGAACTGTACATATTACAGATAAACATTACATGGTATTCATCTTTGATGTACAATTCATCATTCAATTTACAACATGGACAATACCTTTCAGAGGACAAAATCTTACAATATATATATCGTCCAGTTTCTACAGTCAACCCAAAATTCAACATCGAAATCTTGATCGGTCCGAGTCTTAATGTTTATAATACATACACTTTGAGGAAATAGATAACATTACTCAACCATTCTTGCTGAAGGTCATCACAAAGTGTTTGCGTAAACAAGGTGAGGTGAGGTGAGGTGAGGTGAGGTGAGGTGAGGTGAGGTGAAATTGGGTTTAACGTCGTGCTTGAGAATATTTCGCACATATGACGACGTGCATGCGTGTGTATGTGTATGTGCGGCTGCTTGTACTAGCCCAGACTTAAGCTGGTTTTATAGTGCTAGCTTACTGAGATACCATGCCGCAGTGAAGCATGAATACCCCACTCAGACACAGTATACTGACTCCGAGCCGACCAGTCCTTGTTGTACACAATAATGCCGAGCGCCAGGCAGGGACCAACAAGTACCATATTTTAACGTCTTTTGGTATGACGCGGTTGGGGATCGAACCCGTGACCTTCCGCTCTCTGGGCGGACGGTCTAACCACTACACCACGGAGGCGGTCGCGTAAACAAGGATATAAAACATATAGCATTTCCAACGTCCTGTGATATCCATACAAATCCATACCTAAGTAATATATTCTTATTGTGACCCAATTAGAACTTTTATCATTATTAAGTGACAAGTCTAAACCAATATGTAATAGTTTTAGTCACATATAGAGACATAAGTGGGTTTCTGCCACAATCCCACAATACATACAACTTCTCTGGAATAATTAACCCCCGTACAATCAAAAATCTTCACTAAATCACAACAAAATAAGTGCTTTATTTACCTGTCTACTTGAACAAAGCTGTGATTTACTCCAGTTAACGTTCAGCTTGTTTGCCAAGACATGTCCCAAATATCTCTAGAAATATACTTCAATTGTTCACCTTTAAAATACCATTTCTCATTAGTACGCAGTGGCCCACCATTTCGAAAAACTATAATTTTAGTCTTATAAGTATTGACATTCATACCAGTTAAAGTACAAAACTGTTCCAAAGCATCTAAGGTTTTCTGAAGCTGTAGGGCAGAGTAAGCAATAATGGAAACATCATCAGCAAACATTAAAGCAAATACATTGTCAAAAATAGGACATATATAGACATCCTGACCATCACGAGTTTCCATAGTTTTAATTAATTGATTAATAAAAATGATGAATATCTGCGGACTGAAAATACAGCCAATTTGGCAAGAGAAATAACCTGACAAACAGTTGTTTGTCCTAACACAAGCACTAACTTTGGAAGACATAGATATAACAATGTCAAGAAATTTACCTTTAATACTAACATCACTAAGACTTTTGGAAAGGACATAATGCCTTATAGAATCAAAAGCCTGAGAGAAATCAGTAAATAGACAGTAAAATCTTCCCTTTTTCTTAGGAGTATAATTATGTATAATGGCCTGAAATGAAAATCCGTTATCTATGGTACTTCATCAATAATATCATGGGCGTCACACTATTTTCGAAGTCTAAAATTTGAAACTGAGGAGAAAATTTTACATAAAGCATTAATCAATGAGATACCACGATAATTATTTGAACTATCTCTGTCACCCGACTTAAAAAGAGGGCATACAATGCTCTTACCCCATTCTAGAGGAAATACACCATTGTCAAAAATGTTATTAAATAGAACTAACTGCACTGAAACAGTATGTAACTTAGCAGACTTAATGAATTCTGCAGGAATACCATCTGGACCAGGACCAACTTATCAATATGAAAAATATTGATTAATCCTGATTAGTAAATAGCACATTTAAATCAGCTGTTGGTATATCTCTTACAAACAAAACATTCATCTATTATCCATATAACTACCAGAATCAATGAGTATATCATTGCCACTTTCATGTGACAATAAACTAGAAAAATGCCCAAGCCAGGATTGATCAGATATATTTTTGATAAGCCCCCAAACCGTCTACAATGCTGAACAATTTTCCAAAAAGACTTCGGGTCATTTTAAGCCTCGAACAAATTTAATGTGTTTTCATCTTGAGACAGCTTTTTCTTCACAGAAAAAGTCCTTCAAAATAATGATGTCAGGTTTCTAAACACTCCAAAGTCAAATCCATGATACCTATGAGCTCTTAAAGCTAAGCATTTATCCCTTTTCATGTGTTCTAATTCTGTGTCCCACCATGGTGGTTGAAACTGTGCATTTTTTACAGAACTTGTATAAACTCTTCTGGCATGATCAGCTGCTGACTGATATACTGTAGCACCTTTAGAATTCAGCACCACAACTTCTCGTGAGGACGTTCTCTGTCGTAGGTCAGGTGTGACTAAGACAAGCAACCAGTTTGTGAAAATCCGTCGGACGCGAACCTGCGACCTTCAGCTAACCGACTGAGCTTACGTCAACACTTACACAAGGTGCAAATTTATCTAGTCATTCCTGTGACGTCACGGAAATGAACGGAAAGAGTCGAATAGGTCACGGACGGTTACGGGTAGACTTGGTGACTTGCATTCGTCAACACTCGCCCCTTTCCGTAACCGCTATTCGGCTTGTCCCGGAATAACACGAGTGGGTCACGAATGACGACAATTAAGCTCATTTACGAGGGCAAATACTTACCGTAATTTGTATTGTAAATTTATGGTATCGTAAGCCTACGAGAGTTTCGTGAAACGCCCATAAAGTCGTAAGATTGTGCTACGAAAAAGTTACATATCTTAGGCTTACGAGAGGGGCCCAGGCCAATTTCCCAATTTCTACATTAAACAATTTCATCGTATATTTTCGACGTTTTGGGGCCCCAGTTGTGTGAAAAAAAGTATTAAAATACAAAAGGAAAAACAACAAATTCTGAATATATTGAAATAATTAAATTGAAAAAAACCCTGCGTATAATAGAATATGGCAGAATATTTTATACTGGTGCTTGCGAAAAATTGCCTATCCGCCGGTAAACAACTACTGGAAACTCTCAACATTGTTGGACTTATGCAATGACAAAGCTAGTAGAGAAACTAGAAACATCAGTGAGCGGAGCTTATACACACGCACTGAGCTGGACAACCTTGTTGCTATGCCGGCGTCATAGTGCATTGATCCGAGAACGTGCTTTGGAACAATTTTCACATAAAATCACGTAAAAGGATATTATGACGTATTATTAAAGTTTGTGGTGCTGTATTCTATAGTAGGCCTTAACCCCTTTGAAGGGTAATCAAACGTAATAACATTCAGATAATGTTCTAATATTGATCGACATACCATCATCATCATGGGCGATCCGTCAGGTGACAAATATGGAAAAAACAGTGCAGTATCAAAGTTCAAACCAAAACGTGTAGTCATAACCAGCAGAACTACAATGTTTTCAAAGGTATTATACACAGTCTATGTACATACCCACTATCAGTCCAATATTCCCGTACGAGAACAGTAACACCGCCAGGTAAACGGCCTAGCGTTTTAGTGCCCTTTACCGAATGCAGTCGTCGCAGCTCACTGCAGAGAATTTATCTCGCTATATTGCTGTCTCGCTATAGCGCGGTAACTGCATGCTCCGTCTCCCTTCACTGCCATCCTTAGGGTAAGGACAAGACAAGACAAGACAAGACAAAACAGTTATTTTTGTGTCACGTCAAAGTCAAGTCAAAGCGTTTATTGCATGAAAGGCCGTTGCTATATACAAATCATAGATACAATATGTAAACAAGTAAAACCCAGATATTATGGATGACAACTTCTTCTTTATTGTATGTCACAACGTTTCTGGGCTATTCCTTGCCCCTTCGTCAGGTGAATTGAAACAAACAAGATACATCAATGGGTAGAATGGGTAGAAGAAGCCTGTGTTGCATGTATATACAATAAATTGGATATAATAAGAAACAGGAGATGAAAGAGTGAGATGTACAGATAAGGGGCATTGTTTATACAAGAGAAGAGGTTTTTTTATGACAGAAAATACATAGATGTGGATTACGACGCTGATTTCTTCAATACAACAGGAAGATCTAACGACAAAACTGTGTGGAAAATCCCTTCTAAACTTGCTTGCGCCGAACACTAAGTATTCACATGTTGAATCGGAGAGCTGGGAGTGACACACTGTGAGATTTTACCTACGCTTCACATACAGGCAAAAGCATTATTGACTATGTCCTTGTATCCTCAGAGCTGTTCTGTGAGGTCAGTGACTTCAGTGTTTTATCTACAGATGATTCAGATCACTTCCCTATCTGATGCTCACTCCGGACAAGCAGGGGTGTCACTGAAGTGAGACAAGACACTGAACACCACACCTGGAAAAGGTTAAAGTTGATAGAATCGGCCTCACCACAGTATGCTAATGCTGTAGAACGGACATGGACTCAGTGTTCACCTGACTTTTATAGCATCATAAAAGTTGGAAATGTTGACCAGGCAGTGCATATTTTAACAATATCCATATCAGAAGCTGCTATTTCCAGTGGCATGTTAACCAGACCCTATATGTGTACAGGGGAGGAGGTACAGTTTAAAACAGAGAAATACACCATGTTAGACAGTTTCAGAGCTACAAATAAAGGTAATGATTTCCAGCGTTATATACAACTGCGCAAAAAACTGAAAAATGTGACCAAGTTGAAGAAAATCCAGTATCAACTGAAACAGAATCTACAGGCTTTACTACACATTGATACAAAAGATTCCCCCATACCTGATTAATGGAAGAGTTAAAAGCTTCAAAAGAAAAGGTAACATACAAGATGACACAATCCTGACTTAAGAGTGGGTATCCTACTTCAAAGCTTTGATAAAAGACACAAAACATGCAGTTGATGATTTTAATCAAACCGTGATACACCGATTAACAGAAACCTCATATGAACCCTTAGAAACAAATGACATTATAGACAGTGAAATCTCAGAGAATGAAATTAAATAATGTGTTCGTCTGTCTGTGTGTATGCGAGTGCTAGTGTGTGTAAATGTATTTCTTTTCCCTTTGATATATTTTTGTGTGCATGTATAAAAGTATTATGTCCTCAGGATATATATATGTGTTTCATACATTTTTTCACATATTAATTGCATAAATGATGTAAAAGCCATGTACTTTGGGCTAGAGGCCTATCTACAGAAATAAACAGTTTAGTTTAGTTCAGAAATACTTTTTCTTTTGTAAAACCAGATTTTTTTGCAGAGAGGGGTCCACCTCTACGAAATACAACAATTTTAGTTTTGTTTATATTAACAGCAAGACCACATTCACTATAAGAGGCTAAAATATTAATTTGATTTTGTAATGCAACAACTTTATCAGAAACTAATATCATATCATCAGCAAAGAGCGTCAGTCAAATTTCAACAATGTCAGGAAACAATTGAATGCCATGTTTGCCCGATTCTTGTAATTATGAGACAATTCATTAATAAAAAACGAGAAGAGAATCGAACTAAGAACACAGCCTTGTAGACTATTGTCTAACAGGATAATCAAATAATCACTTGGCCATTTTTACATTTAACACAAGCTATCAAGTAAGAATACATGGACTTTGCCGTTTAAACCAAGTTTTCGTAGACATTCAAGCAACTTAACATGGTCCACATAGTCAAACGCTTTCTTAAAATCAACAAATGCTATACAAATTATGTTTACTAAATAACAGATGCTTTGAGATAATGGCGTAAAACATGAATGCATGGTCTTTAGTTGAATAATCTTTCCGAAACCCAGCTTGTGATTCAGGAATATTTTTCCCTATGTTAGACCACATAGTAAGTCTGGAATTCAAAGTACTTGCAAAAACTTGTGCTAAAATACTAATGATCGAAATACCTCTATAATTATCTGGATCAAACCACTTTTATCTATAGTTGTGATGACAGATTTAGGGACCATGGGGACTTACAGTACATTTGCTTCCTGCATGGGCCCTAGCTGGATTTACATCATCCCCTCAGTTGTTAACAATTTAGATATATCTAGCCATACATTAAAATTATACGATTAAAAAACGGAAAGTTGAAATTTACTTTGAATGTTTTGGGACTTACGTACCCTCTCAGGAGGACAATAATTTTACAATACTTTAACCACCCTCATTTAAGGTAGTAACAAACTCAAAGAAGTCTGTTGACTCGCAAAAATAATCATTTACCCTGGCGCCATTACTTCCGATTAATGTATACTCACCTGCTAGATCGCCTTGTACACGTCGATTTAAAATACACAAGTCATATACATAAAGTAGGTTAAGCAAAATATTTCCAAAGTTATTTGTGATATGATCCTGGGACAATCGATCGTTTACTGGAAATTGTCCGTCACCTTCCTTGTAAGCCTCTTCACCATAACCGAATATGTCATGATGCTCCCGAGTACGTTTGCTGCAATCACCTGTTCTAGCATTCATATCACCACAGACTACTATATGAGCAACACCAAACTCGGAGATATGTTCTGAGGAAAAACATTTAAGCTTGTACAAATGACATGTCGAGTCAGAATGTTTATACTACGCAGAGCCTTGCGGGGGATTATAGAAACAAATCAGGAATAGGTGCTTTTTAGTACCTGAAAACATTTTGGTAAATTTTAAACAAATCAAGTTATCAACATCAGATTGTATGATTGAACAATGTAACCCTAACACACTTGTAATACATATACAAACGCCGCCAGATAGCCTGCCTGGCATTGACAACTTTACTGCATTTGCATAATAAATATCGTAGCCAGGTAATCCGTGAAGGTCCGGGTTAGAATGAACCTTCAGTAACCCATGATTGTCGTAAGAGGCGACTAACGGGTTCGGGTGGTCAGGCTCGCTGGCTTGATTGACACATGTCATCGGTTCCCAATTGCGCAGATCGATGCTCATGCTGTTGATCACTGGATTGTCTGGTCCAGACTCGGTTATTTACAGACTGCCGTCATATGGCTGGAATATTGCTGAGTGCGGCGTAAAACTAAACTCACTCACTCGTAGCCAGGTAGCCAGCCAAGTCCAAGGCAATCAGTAGCAAATGTTTCTACTAAACAGACAATATCAAATGTTTTCAAGTACTCGATAAAAGATTGATTGTCAAGTTTACTAGCAACACCACACACATTCCGCGACAAAATTGACAAGGTGTTCTCGATTTCACCGGTGATAGAGTTTTTTTGTCCCTATTCAAAATAGTCCGGCCGGCCACACCCCTACCTCCTGTTCGTGTTGCTTTTGCTGGATTGTCTGGTGGTTCTCGATGATCGGGGCTCTTCTCGTGTGGATGTAATCGAGGATCTGTAGCCATCTGTACGTGGCATGGTGACAAGCCTGCCATTTTTGAAGTACCCAAACAAGCCTTGTTCCTTAGCGTCACGGAGTTTCTGACGTTGTCTTGTAGTGAGGTCATTCGATATGCCATAACCTCCTTCCTTCTTCGCTGGTAGAGCTTTCAGTTCTTCGATCTTGTCGTCAGATTCTCTGAACTTGGCAATAAAGGGTCTACTAGCATCCGAACGTTTAGGACCAAGACGATGAGCACGAACAATATCACTGCGTGACCATGTCTTAACATGTACATTATCATTTAGGATGGAGATGAAAGTATCCTTGCACTGGATATTTGTTTCACCAGGGTTCCCCCGCTACGCCATAGAGTATAACATTGTCTCTCCTACTAAAAGCCTCTAGTTTATCCAACTCGTCGTCGAACCTTGTCACCTGAACCTGCACCAAATCAATCTTATCAGTGAGCGAGTCAATATCAGCGTTCACCACTTCAATATTCTGGTGCATGTTAGTCAGTTCGGATTTCAAGTCTGCGATTTTGTGATTCCAGGTTACAACATTTGTTATTTAAGCTCTCGACTTCAATAGTTAAAGGATTTTTAAAAAGGTTTAACATTATGCATTTTTATTACAAAAATTCAAACATGAATATATATCATATCTGCACAATCCATTCCTGAGAAAAAATCTTAGAAATGATGAATATGCCCCAAAACTAGAAACACTTTTGCCCCGCCCACTTGTATGCATATTTATATTTTTAGTTGGTCGGCCGTCTCTGGCTGTGACATCATACCAGAGAGTCCGCTTCGTGCGTTGACGTTCAGTGTATAGGCCATCGAGCTGAAAGTTAAGGGAAGCGCTATATTTTGAATGAAGTTGTAATGACAATATGCCATATTGTCTTGCGTTTGGGTGCACTTCAGGTGCGACGAATATCTCTGGCCTCCATTTTCATGGATTTCCGCAAGAGCTGCCTAGAAGAAAGCAGTGGCTGGCTTATTGTCGACTAGCTGATCTAAAACTGAAAGACATAAGCAAACACAGCACCTTATGTTCCCTGCATTTTTTCATGAAGAATTATGAAAGGGATCCTCAATTCCTAGCACAGTATGGTTATGCAAAAGCCAAAGCCAAACTCTACAAGGATGCTGTTCCTGACATTCCACTCGGGAACACCGGCAAGAGTAAATCTACCACTACCAACAAGATCATCGGAAGCGAGGACGGTTAGAACAAATAGAAGTAAGTAGCTATGAACATGATTGATGAAAGATTTAATGATACTATATGATCACTTGCATCCCTCACATGTTTTACGTTGTCTCAAATTGTCAACTGAGATCGATTTTATTGATATTCCTTTTATCTGTCTCAGTTTTCGCGCATGTCTAGGTTAGCTGTCTGTCGTGCATGTTTTCTGCATAAACTTGCTGCAAGTC